TGAAACTAGCATTAAAAATACATATTAGAGTAAGCAGTATTTCTTAAAGTAACATAGATACATCTGTTCCACAACAGTTTTTTCACATCCTCCTAACTGTCTGAAACAATCACTTTGAAAACTTACTCCACTTGTTTTCTGTAAGAACCTTTACTGTAAAATACAAGTACAGCTTGATTATGTTGCTGAAAAGAAATATGACCTATATTTTTAGTGTTCTGTTTTCCTACAGACAAATGTGTCGCTGGCATATTTTACACATAAGCCAGGCACTGATATCTAAAATTAGTACAGTGCTCTCTGAAATGTTTGTGTGCCTTTTTTTTTTTAATTGAATTAACATTAAACAGCAAAAGCTTGCAGTGAGATGTCGTAGTTTGCATTTGAGAGTAGATAACCAAATTTAAGATAGAGGAATTTCTCCAGGTTTAAATGAACACACTCACAACCATAGTTTTTAATTAAACTAATTCAACTTTGTGTAATTCAGGAGTAAAGCTCTTGAATTTGGTTCATATATTAACAGACACACACACACGCACACACACACACACAAAATCTATGTTTGGCTAAATGTAGTGCCCTTTCTTTCCTGTTGGAAGAAATGGTATCTGAACAAACCACTCATCTTCACTTCAGTAAGGAGCACAGCACATAATTTACCTTGAGATTGCTGGTCCATGGATCTTCTTTAGTGCACACCCTTGTCACAGAGAAGTATGACATAGCTTATTTTATTCACACTGAACAGAGGTTTTCTGATATATTGTCAACCTGCTGCAGCTTTGCAAGTCAGCTAACTTTGCAGATGAGCTTTGCTTTTTTGGATTTCTGGGTCTTTTTCCAGGTAAGCCCATTCCTCTTTGCATTTGCACCAAGATAATGAAGAAAAAAATGGACATCAAAGAAGAAAATAAATTTCAGAAGTTTTGACTTCAAATAATGAAAGTAGCTGTGGTGAGGTGGTGTGCTTTGTGCCTGGGATGTGCAGTGGCAGCTGAATTTCATGTTGAAGTTTCCCTGGAGATTAGTGCTGAGTTTAAACCTCCAACTATAAAGGCAGCACACCATTATGCAAGTTCTTGTCCCTATTAAGAAATACACAGCTTCTGTCATGTGGTGACTTGTGGAAGCTGAGAACAATATTGAAACTGTCGCAATGGGAACATGACCAGTTAAGGGGTTGTTCTTGCCTCTTAGAAGAATGTAAGGTCTTTGCCAAAATAGCTGGAATTTTGCACATATGGAGTTCCTCAAAAGCTGTTATTCTTGAAATAATTTGGAAAGTTTCCTTCCAGAAAAGAGAGAGATGAATTAATAGGCAACAGAGGTTGTCATCCTTCAGAGTTTTGATTTCTATGTTACTGAAGAAAGTACTGTGACTACTGTGAATAACACAGCTATCTATAGACTGGCATTGCTTGGCTTTGTCTGAGGCTGAAGGAGGTTCTGGCTTTCACCTTTTCTCCTTTCTGTGAAAGGAGATGATACTAGTCCCCGCAGGAGTGTTTTCAAAAGAACAAAGACTGCTGTGGCTGGTGTGACTGCAGTAGACATCAAAAGGTAGAAGCATTTGATGAAAAAAGATTTCTAGTTATATCTGCCCATTCATTATCTCTAAGCACTTCTACTGCCCATCATTGACGTGACCAGAACACCTCCACACTGCAGTTTGGTGTGTGAACACATCTTGCTGTATAGAAAGGAGCAACAGAAACAGTGCTGTGACCGCACCGTCTATGGCCTAAGAGCAGCACTGGAAATAAAACTATATGTTAGCTGTATAATAAGGCATATTTAGCTTGATTTAGGCTGTCATCAGCCTCTTCAGTGTGGTTGGTGGTCTTCACACTGAGGACAACTCTCAAACAGGAGTTGTTTGCACAGGAGCCAGAGACACAGGAGTCCTAGGCCAGCTTCCCATCACAGGTTATTAAATGGCACTCTTGTGATGGCCAAGTTGTGATCATAGTCATTGCCATCCTGACTTTCCTTCCATCTGCTTATGTTTCTGTACCTGGGCTTTCAGGTATGTTCGCTTCTCATCGAAGGCAGACTTAGGACCTCAAAATTCATCTAGTGAGAAGCCACAGTGCAGCTTTGTTGAATAAATGGTTTGGGCAGGATGATTAGGTGAGTACTGAAGGCAGAGAGAATTTTCACCTATGTACAGCAATGAAATTAAGGGCAAAGTTGGGAGGAGCAGAAAGGAATCTAGCTTTTGAAGAAAAAAAAAAGTGGAGAAAGTAGCTGAACAACCTCCAAAAATACCTGGGAAATTGATATGTCCACATAGTAGTAATGATTCAGACCAAGCTGAAATTTAACGTGCTGAAGGTGAAAGCATATCTGTTACCTTCAAGTATTTCCAGAAATTCTCTGATGTTATTTGCTCTATAAGGTAGTTAAATAAATCTGTAATGTGAGCTTAGCTTCACATGAGAATGGCATCTGACATTTTTGTGTGTTGTGAATATGCACTATGAGTACTCACAGAAAGAGGCAGCACAGTAGATACACAGTGTGTGATCCCATACTGGCTAGTGTAGTCCTGCCCAGAGGCAGGACACAGTGTTATCTGGATAAGCTTTGGTTTGTCTTAGTGTATCCCAGTGCGCATCACAGCACACACGTGATTCATGGTGCAAGACTGTAATTCTGACTTATCTCCTATCATTCCAGCTAAACATTTTGCCCTTCTCAAAAAACTGCCTGTCTCCACAGTTTATTGGAAACTTCAATGCTCAGTTGGTATAAGATACAGTTGCAGAAACAAAAACACAGGACTGAAAAAAGTCTCACTGCATAGGACATACCAGCAAAGAGCTGTGAAGTAAAAACTTTTCAAATTGCACAACTCACTATCATCCTCCCGTCCCCAAAGCCCCACAAGACCCCATAAGTTACGCAAATTATGAAATCATCTCACTATCATGAATCATCCGCACATAAATGAGCCATGTAGCAAAGTTTCAAGTTGGAAAAATACAAAAGTATAGTTTTATTCAGTGTACATACTTTAAATTCTCCTTACAAATAAGGAAATAGAACATTTTCCTTAGGAAAGGCCAGTCTTTGATAACAATAATAACTGCCATTTGGCAATTAAAAATATAAGTGTTAAATGTTTAGTTGAATAGGAAGCACAAGGCTACTGAGGTTTTTGAATGTTTGTACACTTAAAAGATGTTGTGTAAATGCACAGTGTTGCAGCTTTTTTCTTCTTTCAAAAAAACTGCTTCTATGGTGGACATATGGTCAGCTTGCTACTAGCTGTAACAAACCACAGAAACTTGGGGCAAAACATAAACTTTCAGAACCCTTAGTCATAGAGATCTCTTGAAATTTGATAACACATTTTTGCAAAGCAACTATTAAAAATGATGAGCGAGTAATTACTAAAAATCATGATGCCTCCAGTATGTATTTGCTGCATTCCAACTCTGAGGAAATTCTTTTGATGTTTCTTTCACAAAGACCTCCTGTTTTTCTGCTCAAAGTGGCATGCCTGCATGCATAAAACCATCCTGACAGCCCTGAGCGTTTGTATACAGCCTTTGACTTAAGTAAGCAGCTCAGCTTTAAAATATCTTGTTTTCTCACAGGTTTTGCAAGGCAAGTTTATTATTGTTGGTGTATTTACACTTCATGACTCCCTCTCTCCGTCTCTGTGTGTGTGTGTGCAATGAGTACTTTGAAAAGACAAGACAACTTTTTCAGCTTCTCAATGTGTATTGGCTCTGTGGGCCTTCCTCAGGCCAAAAGCTCTTCCCATGATAATCTGGTTAAGGAAACACATTTGGTTTGTCCTTGTGTGTTGTGACACATTTTGTGTCTCAAGACATCAAAAAAGGGAGAAACACCTACCATGTGACTTCTGCCTTTTCTTTGTTGTGCAACACTTCACAAGCCCTGCATTTTACTCCATGTTTGTAAGGGAAAGCAATCAGAAATGCTGTCTTCACAAGAATTTACAGAGGAGCCTCACATAGCTCCTACAGTTATTCTACTTCTACAGGCAAACACCCTGTTAAAAAACAAGGCCTGTCTGCTCCCACACTAAGTCCACATGCAAATGGTTTAATATCTCACTCGTGCCCCAACTCTCGATGTCACAAACTGCTTTTCAGGAGACACTACTAGGCGCTATCTCTATGACCACTAGCCATAATGTGGTGAAGTACATGATTCTTATTATATCAGGTCCAGAGGCAAGAAAAAAATTAAATTGGGAGGGGGGGGGGGGAGGGAAGGACTTTCTTTGAAGCGCTTCTCATACTAGTGTAACTGCGAGCGCTGCAGCACACCTGGGTGTGAGAGAGATGCTCCTCACACGTGCCTGGCATCAGATCAGGAACAAAACTGTGCTCTGAAACAAGTGTACAGAAACCTCCAGCAAGCAGCAGCAGTGTCCCAGGCTGGAACTGGCCGCAGCAAGGCCAGCACCTGTCCGGAAAGAAACAAAGCGGTGGGGAAGAGCCAGTGAAGTCACGCGGCCTGGCTTGTGCCCCAGCCGGCCGCTGAGCTTCAAAGGGACGACACGAGGGCTCCCGGGCCGCCCATCGGCTCGATCTGACCAAGAGCCACCAGTGGGGCCGCACTTGTGTTCCTGCGGTTCCAAACAACAGGCCTTTCTTCCTTTCCTTCCAGATTTGTTGCCTTACGCTCTGTCAATCACGAGTTTTACATCGAACTCCCAACAGCCTCAATACTCCACCCCTCTCTCGCTTGCCAGCACTCGGCATCGCAACGCAAACACCGCCTAAAATAACAGCCGGGGCACCCGGGGCGGGCAATTGCCACCGAGGCGGGCAACCTCCCGTCGGTGTCCGGGCGGCGCACAGACCGCTTCGCCGAGCTCCGCGCGCAGCCCCACGGCCCGACCCCGCCCGACCGCAGCCGACGGCGGCACTCGCAGGGCCCCGGCGCAAACCTCGACCTCAGCCGCGGCCCCGTCCCGAGCGGGCGGGCGGGGCGAGTCCCGGCGCTGCCGCCAATCGGCGCGGTGGGGCGGGCACGGCCGCGGTGCCTATAAAAGGAGGGGGCGGCCGTGCCGCCGCCGGCTGTGCGGTGCCGTGGGTTGGTTTGTTGCCCCCGTGTCGATCGAGGTGAGCTGCGTGAAGAGGTTGCGGGCACTGCCGGGGTTCCGCGGGCCCCCGCCGCCGCAGGCGCTGCCGGCGCGTAGGAATGGGGCCGCCATTCCCGGCCAGTCTCCCGCTGAGCCGCCCCGCCGCCGGCCCTGGTTTTGGGCCGCTCCGCCCGCCCTTGTTTACGGCCGCAGCCGAGGGGCTCCGAGGCCCGGCGTGCTGGGACGGAGGGGCGGGATGGCCTCGAGGGCCGACCGTGGCCGCGAGGAGGGCGACTGCAGCCTGGCTGTCCGCTCGGGCCGGGGGTGCCGGGGTGGTGAGGGTCGGGTTCCGAAGCTTGAGTAGGGGGCTGGGGGAGGAGCGGAGTGCTTTCTTCTCCGGTCCGAGAGCTCTTCGGGGTCTGTGCCCATCTTGTTTATTCCCTCCTGTAAAGGAAGAGGGGAGACCGAGTCTTCTGCTGTGAACGGATTTGTTTCAAGCCGGGTATTTCAGCGTTAGAGGCTGTGAGGCAAACAGGGCTTGTGTGCATATTGTTATATTGTTTTGCCCGATGGGCGTTGCTCAATTTCCGGCAGATTTGTCAACATGAACGTGTGTCTGACCATCCTGTCCCTGTGCTTGGGGCTGGCCTTTGCTGCACCGAGATTAGATCCCGATTTGGACAGCCACTGGCAGCTGTGGAAGTCCTGGCACAGTAAAGATTATCATGAGGTGAGTGCCTGTAGGGTGGCCCCTGGGATGTGTGTTCAGCTCAGCAAATGCAGAGCGTGTTCGGCTGGGCCCCATCAGCTGAGTCATGACTGCTTTGTTTTAAAGCTGGCCAAGATCTGTATTTGTTGAATTAAGCCTCTCTCTTCCTGAATCCCTTTGCTTTGTTCATGTGACTGCTCAGTTATGCTTTTCATATGAGAGTGGCAGAACAACCATTTCTGGAAGTGTGCCAGCTCTTTTTTTTTTAAGAGGAGTTCATATTTGCCTGGGTATACAAACTATAACAAAGCATGCCATCACTTGAGTGAAATTTTGAACTTTCTCATTGAAATGCTGCTTTTCTGGCTTCTCAGAGAGAGGAAAGCTGGAGGAGAGTGGTGTGGGAGAAGAATCTGAAAATGATTGAACTCCATAACCTGGATCACTCATTAGGAAAACACAGTTATAAGTTGGGGATGAATCAGTTTGGTGACATGGTATGTACATAAGCATGAAACATTCATTTCTAAACAGCAGTGTATAGTATAGTCGATGGTGACTTCATGTCTTAAATTTTCTTTAGACGACGGAGGAGTTCAGACAGCTGATGAATGGCTATATACACAAGAAGTCAGAAAGGAAATACAGAGGATCCCAGTTTCTTGAGCCCAGTTTCCTTGAAGCACCACGATCTGTAGACTGGAGAGAGAAGGGATATGTAACTCCAGTTAAAGATCAGGTATTCTGTGTCGTTTGATTTTTTTTTAACTAGTTTCCTGAATGCTGCCTCCATGTTCATAGAGGAGAGATGTTGTTGAGTTGTTTGAACCCTAGTGCAAGCATGCTGCATTAAGTTCCATTTTAGTAAAATTCTGTACCTTATTAGAACTATTAAGGAGTCCTTCTGTGCTAAATAAAACTAAAACAGTGTCTCTACTTGAGCGTAGTAGAATCATGAAACTGAAGTTAGTCTTGAGGCTTTTGCTTTTCTAATGCTTAGATCAATGGCATGGGAACTGTAATTGCTTAATATATCCAACATAACCACTTGTGATTTTTGCTTCTTACTTTCAGGGTCAGTGTGGCTCTTGCTGGGCTTTCAGCACAACAGGAGCTCTTGAAGGCCAGCACTTCAGAAAAACTGGGAAACTTGTTTCGCTCAGTGAACAGAATCTTGTGGACTGCTCCCGCCCAGAAGGAAATCAAGGCTGCAATGGTGGTCTCATGGACCAGGCCTTCCAGTATGTACAAGATAATGGGGGAATTGATTCAGAGGAATCCTACCCATACACTGCAAAGGTAAATGTCATAGCTGAACATGTTGCAGATGCAGCATCTATTGTGTAAACTCTAAGTGTTGGGAAACAAATACCTGGAAAACATAAAGGCTAAATAGCCATCAGTACATCTCCTTTTCTTCTTGCATCCTTCTAAAGAAATCTAGGATGACTGCTTGCCCCAGATTCTGTAGCAGTCACATACTGCACTGATCTTTGGGGGTCAAAATCATGAATTGCTCAGGTTGGAAAAGACCATAAAGATCATCAAATCTTACCAGACCGTCTGGAAAAACTAGAGCAAATCTCGTTATTGCTTCTCCCTGTCAGATGCCAGACCTTATCTTTGATGACACACCAAACCAAGACTTGGTTCTTGTCAAACTGCTGCTTAGTCGTAGGGGTTCAATTATGCTTTTCATAACTGAGCTATTATGGGTTATTTCCCACAGACCAAGTAATTCTTGCAGCAGGTCTGGATTTTCTTAGATTTGACTGTCTTATATTTTTACTTTGGGGCTGAATCTGCATAAATGCAGGTAACGAGCAGATTTCTCATGATCTATCAAAAGTTAAACAGGCATGAGAAGACAAAAGGGCAGTAATAAATGGTGGTGTCATGTAAGTCTTAATGTTTGGGCTTTTACTACTTTCAGTGCTGCTGCTCTCTAGAGACTTTCCTTGCAGTTTGTCTTCTGTTGACTGAATGTGCAGTAGCAGTGACGTTCACTGTGAATAACTTTGAAGGATTTGGATTCCTATCTGCCTGTATCCTGTAATTTTTTTTAAACTTGTCTCTTCCAGCACTTCTGGTTGTTTATAGGAAGTACAAACTTGCTGAGTATGAGAAGTAAACAACTGAGGCATGTGGCCCATGTTCTTTTAGTTGGAAAGGCAACTCAAGTTCTAGTTTCATCACACAGATGAAGCAGGGACATGCATACTTTTTTTTATATCAAATTGCCAGATGTCCCGACTTGACCCCTTTCCTGAAACAAATGCCTGTGACACACACAGTTCAGGCTTCACTGTGTGTGAAGAAAAATGTAAAGAAGCCCAAAATACAAGAATACTGTAAGCTCATACATTAAAAATGAGTAATTTCCAAGTCATTCTTCATGGTTTTCCAGACAGACTGTGGATTTAAATGCTTGCTCAATTAGCAGTTTCTGGACTGCTTTGTAATTAATGAATACTTGGCTCTCTTTCTTTGCCTATTAATGCATTCTGGACATTGTTTTCTCAAATGAAATTTGTCTTCCCTACTAGAGACTGCAGTGTTCCTAGATGTAAAGGTCTTCTGCATCCCAGTAAACCTTTCATTGTGGGCTTCTCAACCCTATGCTTTTTTTTCCTTTTTCTGCATCTCTGAATAAATAACTCAGAAGCAGTTTCTTTTGATTTAGGAATGCTTTGAGAAGGACCTAGTTGTGTCTGGTCTTCTTTCAGTGTCTTGCTTTCAATGCAGTGAACTTGTGGTATGTCTGGTAGTTCTTATGCTCACCTGTGTGTAAAGTAGAGAACTATGTAGTAACTAGTAGTTTTCTTATTTCTTTTAATTCAGGATGATGAAGATTGTCGCTACAAGGCAGAGTACAATGCTGCTAATGATACTGGCTTTGTTGACATCCCTCAAGGACATGAAAGAGCTCTCATGAAAGCAGTAGCAGCTGTGGGTCCAGTATCTGTTGCTATTGATGCTGGCCACTCTTCATTCCAGTTTTATCAGTCAGGTGGGGATTTGTTAGTAACTTGCATGAAGAGAACTTCTTGAGTATTCAGTAATCACTCACTCTTCAGTTTAAGAGCAAAAAAATCTGAGTTTGTGAAGTAGGACATATGAGTCCTCTTAATTCTAGCCCAGATTCCCACACTTTGTACTTCTCTTGTATATGCTTGTGCTTGCTGCTTACTTTCTCCCGTAGATACATTTCACTTCCCTCTCTGCACAGCTTCTCTAGTTAATCGACACAGTTTTGAACACAAGGATTCTAGTAGAGCAGTTTGTTCATGTGTGATCTTATACTTCCTTAGGTATCTACTATGAACCAGACTGTAGCAGTGAAGACTTGGACCATGGTGTTCTGGTTGTAGGATATGGTTTTGAAGGTGAAGATGTAGATGGAAAGAAATACTGGATTGTTAAGAACAGGTAAAACTTTTTTTCTATGTGTGTCATACTCTGTGGGAGGAATGTGGGTAGTTTGTCTTTTGGCCTAGGGGGGGTGTGAGGAGGCAACAGAAATTAAAATCTACATATGAACATGTGGAGACTGTTTTTAGGGTATTCGGTAGAACTTAAAAGTCAGCTTAGGCTGCTAACTTGCTAGTAAGGTAGGCTCTGAGAGCAATTGCATTTCTCTGTGTTTTGAGCTGATTTGAGGGATCAAGGAAACTTGGTGAAAGATTAGCCCATGCATAGAGTAGATGCACTGAAGTGATAGTGCATAGGAGAGCAGAAGGAAAAACAGGTTGTGGCAATGGGGGATCATGAATATTTCAGAAGCAGTGGGGCTACTCACTGTATGAAATAAAGTAACATTTGAATTTTCAGAATGTAGTTATCCTCCTGGGCTGGAAGGAAAAAAAAGAATGCCAAAGGGCATATCACATGAGTTAGTCTCAGCATTAGTGGGACACCACCCTCATGCTGTCTGCAGTCTTGGGTCCTATGTTAAAATTGGCTGGGAGCATTGTCTGAGCTCCAGCACCCGTAGTTCAAAATTATCCTCCTGTGAGGCAGAAACCTCCATATACAGCTGCACTACCCTTTTTGTTTTTTTGTCCTTCTGTTATATATATAATTTCCTGTGAATATGGATGGCAGTTCTCAGTTTATACACTTCATGGAGGAATAGTAAGGAAGTCTTTTGGAATATGAAAATAAACCTTTTATTTCTGATTACAGCTGGGGTGAGAAGTGGGGTGACAAAGGATATATCTACATGGCCAAAGACAGGAAGAACCACTGTGGAATCGCAACAGCTGCTAGTTATCCACTTGTATAATTTGAAGACTGGACATTTCAGTGCAAAAGGGGATAATAAACTGAATGACCAAACACAGACACACAGGTGGTAGACTTGTATTCTTCAAAAGTCAACTTGATTTTTTTTTTAAGACTCTTGAAGTCTGTTTTACATGTTGGTGACATGCCACTTATTTTGAATTAATGTAAATGTTGGTATGTAAACAGCTTGTAATATTGCTGGCTTTTAACTGCTTAATCTAATAGATTCTTCTATGTATTTTTTCCTTTTTTAAAATTAGGAATGTGCCCAAAGGTTTACTTTTTAAATAAACACTTAATTTAGTGTGTACAGATGACTGGCTTTTGGTCTTTCTTTGCACTTGGAGCTCACCATTTAAATGTCCTGCACAGGACTGCTAGTGAATGTCTGTTGTTCTATCAATTACATAAAAGCAGCTTGAGAATGATGAACAGCTTTTATAAACTGGAGTGTAGTATTTGATACAGCTTTAAGGGAAAGAAGAAAAATGTCTTCACTGGAAAAAGCAGAAATGACTGAAATTGGATGCTCATTCTTTGAAACTACTTGTTAATCTGGAATATTGTTATAAGAGAATGTTGGCTCTGTCCTATGACCCGGGGCAATATTATGGGCTCTTACTATTTTATAACAAAGATCAAATATTTTTATGCCCTATGTTCAGCCTCTAATTATTTCTTATCCAGAATACCAAATTTCTAACCCCAGTCTTTCTTCATGCTACCTCATATGAGCGTATTTAAAACCTTGGTCTCCTTGTGAACATGATGGGGTAAAACGAGAAGATCCAAAGCAAGAGTTCAGCGAGAAAGCTTGATGCTTAGTTGTTGGCAAGTTTACTATTTCCCATTCTGCCCCAGCTCTAGTTAGGGAAAGAAGGGGTGGGGGGAAGGACTCTTCCTGTAGGAACTAGTTAGGCCCTAGTTAGCTTCTCCTGCTTATTCCTTGGATGTTCTTGTTTCCTGACTGCACTGTAGTGACTTGTACTATAACCTGAGAGAACTGTCCTCTGTAGATCTCTGATACTGAAACATTGCTACTAGCTGTTCTATACTGTTGATGTCTTTCGGATACCTATAGTTCCTGTACTCTGTGGAACTGACAACAAAAACATCTGCTGGGGGAAGGCTTACCTTGTATTCAAGGTGTTGACTCACATTTTTGTACTTTGGCTAAAGTGGAAGGAAGCTAGTGTAGGTTCAGGTTTCATAAAGCCATAAGTTTTCATGTACGCTATCTTTCCTGAGTCTGCAAGTCATATACTCAAGGGAACACCTGAAGTTATGGAAGCAGAATTTCCCTATTGCGGAGAAAGTAAGTTTTAAGGTAGCAATTCTTAAGCCCTTCTTGGAGGAGGGGGAGAGGGGAAAGCTGAATTCAGAAATATAGAATAGCTAAAACTTAATTGCTTAAGTTTTAAGTAAATTCATTAATGAAACTTAATCAACTGTGTGTCCTTGTGCTGTTTACAGATGAATTTTTTTCAACTTGAATCTCCTTGCAAACATTTTTTTCTAAAGGAAGAGCCTCCTTCAGTGGCTACTTAATAAGTGTCAGCCAGAAGCACTGGTTGGAACTGAGCTATTATGCTGACTTGTTAAACCTGTTATGGAGAACATCCACACTGCTTGGTAGAAGCTATGTAGGAAACAAAGGAAAGCAACTGGTAGTACCCATAAGGATTATGCTTGGAAGAGAATGTAAGTAGGCTACATTCATGATGCCAGGAAACTGGCTGCATAAGCTCCATATGCATTAGCTGATTTTCATTCTTTCATCCCTAGCACTGGGAGTGGACAGAAACCTGTCTCTCTCAACACTTAAGTGCTGGACATAAAGTATTACTAATTTTCTACCTTTCTTCAGATAAGATAAAATACTAAGTGCAGTGTGAGCTCAACTTCAATCCTGCTAGTCCTTGAGCTGCAAAAGAAAAAAAAAAAAGAGCAGTAGATGAAAGGTATTTGATTATAAAAGCCAAGGTTACTAAAAGCTGATGGGAAAAGAGGATATTGTTTATGAACAGAGAGGAAAAGAAGAGGAAATAACTTTCTGAAGTCATATGCATATAAATGGAAATGTAGCTCACAAAAGAGGCATCAGCCTATAGATAGACTTAAAACCAACATGGTAAAACAGCTATTTGTATGCACTAAAACTTGCTGACTATTCTGGCTGTACATCCTCCCTTCTGAATGGAATTATCAAGAAGCTGACAGGGTAAAATGCGTCATGCAGATAACTGGATATTTACACAGACATTTTAAGTAAAAGCTTCAACCTAGGTTTCCTTACACGATACTGTAAACAATAAAATTTGTGTCCACTGCATGTAAGCCCAGTGGTAGAAATTTAAACCTGTTGCACTTCAAGAATTGTTTTAAATCTGTTTTTTTTTTTTTTTTTAAATCCATTGTGTTTGCCTTATTTCTAAAGAACTGTATTGTTTGCTGTAGAAGTACCATTATAAAGCAGCTAGTGGGCATATGTCCTACTGGGGAAAGTGGTGTATCCATAGTGTTTTTCCTTTCCTAAGACAAAGCGAACGTGTTATGTATGCACACATAAAGCTCCTGTGTTGTCTCCAGAAAAGCTATGGGCTATTAACGCTCTTGATGTCTATGTTCCTACATATTTGTTTCCAAAGATTTTGAAGACTTTCTTTTGAATAACATTTATGTTGATAACAGGAGTTTCATTTTTGTGTATTACTTTAAAAGATCCTAGTGCACTTCTTGCCATTAAAATGTCCTGACTAGACTGTCCTGTTCAGGTCCTGTGTGCACTGAAGCTATTGATTTTGCTAATGGAATCTTACATCATGCATATCTAAATACATAATTTGAGTACTATGCCACATGCTTGGTAGATGACAGTTCTGTACAATGATTAAACTGCCATCGTTGCTTGCCTTCATCTACATTGTGAAAATGAACTGTTTTAATTATATTTGGGAAGAAAAGAAATTTTGCACTTGCGTTTCTGCATGTTGGTGCTTCTTCGATCAGGTTTGTCCTAGAGTCTCATAAGAATAACAATTTCTCCAGTTTGTTTGGTGAATGACTGTAATTCTTTGTAGATGGTTATAGGATTCTAAACAGAAGTATTTGTAAGGCAAGGAAAGCCAGGAAAAGAAATTATTCCTCTTGCACGTGAAGCAGTCCTTCTTTGAATTTCAATGAGAAATTGATTTAACCATCATGTAAGAATGTATTCCTTTTCTCTTATACAGTAGTCATTTTCTCATTCTATCTGTAAATGTTAAGCAAAATTGAACTTCACTTTACTTTAACTACTGATGTTTAATCAATTTCTGAAAATTTACAGTGTTATTAAATAAGCCCACTATCCCCCTACCAGATCTATGCAGGCAAGAAAATTTCAAAATGTTTTTAAGAACAGCCATGACAAAATTGTTTTCATTCCACTCTGTTGAATCTTAAAATTATTATTGACGTTTCAGGTAAGTGCAGGGATACCTAAAGCACATGGATAAAAGGATACAATCAGACTCAAATTCCCTCCAGAAAAATCCCATTCACAAAAATGAACCTTGATGACATTTGGTAATGTTTCTCTGCATATAGACTGGGAGCTTTGAGGAGGGTGAGGGTTGTCCATTTGCAAAAGATCCACGGATGGGTTAATTTTGTTATTTTAGGGACCCCAGAAAATGAATCTTCAGTTGCGTTTACAGGGAACTTGACTGTGCTTTATTTCTTTTCTCATCATGCTAATTTGTATAAATATTCACCTTCCAATTGTCTTGAAAATTGATTTCTGCAGTACTTCTTATTTTCATTACACATGTCTGTTGAAGAGTTGCTACCAATTTTAGTGAGTCAAGGGACAAAGAAACCAAGAAGACAGGCATTTATATTAAAATAAATATTTAAAAAAATTATATTAAAAATTTTATATTAAATTTTTTATTAAAAATATATTTTAAAAAAACTGGCTTATTTTTAAAATGACGTTGCTTTGTATTATTAATCTATGGTTCTCACCTTTTCCAGGAGACCCCAAAGCTACTTCTCAATGCAATCTGGTAGCCTTTCTCGATAAAGTCGTGCTCAAGGTAAATGTCTAGAAATATCAGCATGCATTTTTAGATGTGGTACCATAGGTCTGGTTCCTGCCCCTCACATCTCTCTCAGAGTAAGAGAGCAAGAAGCATACCTGTGGTTATGGATCACTGTGAAATGTTATTTCAATTGCAGTATCTGTGTGCATTCAAGAAACTTTGTAGTCCCATTTATTAAGTGCTCTGTAAATCCAAAAGCAAGGAAATCCCTCTTCTCCCCAGGCTTTTAATCTGAACTAACATGCAGCTGAAAGATGGGAGAGGAAAAAGCCAAAGCAGTGAATCTGCTTGCCGATTGTACAGTTGATTAGCAGCTGCTTGTGAGTCTGAGACAACGCTGCCTTTGCTTTTTTCCACTGTAACTCCAGTAGAGCCAAAAGGTAAGCATATAGCTTGTCTTTCACTAACTTTAAACCCCTACTTTTGTCTGTCTGGCCCTTTCTCCTTCACCTATCTCCCCTGATTTCCTTTCATTGAGCAGTCAGTCTTCTTTTTATCTCCCTGTGTTAGAAAGACAAATCATGCTATTTTGTTAAAAGAGGGAGAAAATTGTCCATGCAGGGACAAAACAGGAAATGAGGTTACCAGAAAGGTGAAGCACAATGCGTCACCTGGCAGGCGCCCGGCCTGCCTGTACCAAGTGACACTGCTGGGGCACGTGGCGGTGACCGCTGTTGCTGGGTGTGGGGAGAAGCTGGCTTCCTCCTTCCCAGGCATTTGCTGACAGTGCATTGTAATGCAGGCGAGAACCATTAGGGTGTAGCGAGCAGTCATGCCTGGGCTCTGCCTCACCGTAGTCCGCAGCTCTTGTAGTGAGCGCTCTGCAAGTGCACTCGTTGAACGTCCTCATTCGACAGCCGTGGTCAGAACTACGAAAGCTGCCACCAGAGACCCACTTAGCTTCTGATGAACAGGATCCTGCAAACCCATGATGCGAATTGCTGA